GGTGGGGCGGGGGAGACAATGGGGCTGGGCTGGGGAGGGTTGGGGGGTTGGGGAGAGGGACAGGGTCTGGAGGGGATGAGACAGAGGGGAGCAGTACTGGAATGGTGGGAAGTTGAGGGGGTGGGACAGCAGGGGGAGCGATGGGGGTGGGATGACGGGGGAGGCTGAAGAAGAGATTTGGGGTAGGGCAAGGCTGAGGGCAGTGGGTTGGGGGGAGCAGGGGGACTGTGGGGGAGGCTGTTGGAACGGGGGCAGGGACTGAGGGCAGTGGGTTCGGGGTGGGAGGTACAGGGGGGACTGTGGGGGAGGCTGTTGGAACGGGGGCAGGGTGGGGACTGAGGGCAGTGGGTTCGGGGTGGGAGGTACAGGGGGAACTGCAGGGGAGGCTGAGGGAACAGGGGCAGGGTGGGGCCTGAGGGAAGTGGGTCTGAGGGGAGCCCCCCCCAGAGGGACCTGCCAGGGGGCCAGGTGAGCCCAGCAGTGCTTACCTGGAGCGGCTCCCAGGAAGCATGCAGCAGGCAGGTCCCTCCCAGTCCCTCTGGCCCCTTCCTAGAGTCGGGTCGAGGGGAGGGGGCAGGGGCGGGGGGTTCTCTGCCCGGCGACAGCTGCCTGCTGCCGGAGTCTACAAGCCCCGCCCCGCTGCAGCACGCAGGGGAGTGAGACCTCCCTGCCTCTCTGTGTGCCGGGGCAGGGGGAGGGCTGCGCTCTGCAGGCTCCTGCCGGCCAGGCGGGGGGCCCCGTGGGCTGGCGCCGCCGCGCTGGGAGCTCTCAGCTGCGCGCTGCCCCAGGGCCCAGGGAGGAAAGGTGAGTGGCGCCAGCGGCGCCGGCTTGCCGCGATTCCCCCAGCGCGGCTGCCTTGTCCTCGCTTTTGGGTCTTTAAATAGCCGTCCGGGGGGAAATCCTGGACATTTTTAGCTTTTTACAAATTCCCCCCGGACGGCTATTTAAAGACCCAAAAGCCGTACATGTCCGGGGAAACCCGGACATATGGTAACCCTACACTTGACTGCTGCCAGAAAGTATCCTCCAAGTGCAATTTCCTATAGAATCTTATCCAAATAAATAGAACATCATCTGTATCCATTGTTATCCAAAACTATGCAAATTGTTTTCTGTTATATGAATAATGTTTTGAGTCAGTGTCATTGGAAAACTATGGTGCTATTATTTACCCATACTTGTTTTCAAAGGAAGTGGGGAGCAAGGAATGGAATTTCTTAATGGACTTCCCAATGAGTCTCACTAAATTAAATTATTAAATCAAAGTTGAAAGACATGATTTATGAGATTGTGGGTTTTTTTTTAAACAAACTGAAATCTTACAATTTAGATCTTAATGGGCTAGTCTGAGTTATATCGTTTTTTAGAGAGGTGAATTGTTTTAATATTTGTATTGAAATAAAAATTTAAAAATAAGCTGGTGTTCCTAGAGATTGGATGAAAAGTATCCATTTGATTCTTCGTAATTGGCCATAACTGGAACAGTGACAGCCTTGCTGTGCCTTCTTCACTCTGATTTTTTTAAATGTTAGAACAGTCTACTTACTATAACACTATATGCTACAAATCCATATTTCTAGTAAAGTGTTTATAGATGGATAAGAATTTTAAAATTAATATTAAAGTAGCAATTTTGTGTGCATAAGTAACCACTTTCCTGCACAAGTTAAACCGTTATAACAAAGCCATTTGCAATTTTTTGGTTTGAAAATATGTTCCTCAGTAGTTATTGTCAGTTGCATGACTACAGAATGAATAAATAAATAAAGCTGAAACTACCAAGCTCAACATTTTTATACTCCTTTTAGTTGAAAACTACCATGTTGTTTTAACCTTTTAATTTCTGTGCATATCATATTGCTTTGGGGGGAGGGGGGACGTGTTCTGTTAATTCTGTTGTAAATGTACTATGCACGAAGTTAGGGAAAGTTATCTTGTATGTTTTAGTAATATATTTAATGAAACGTTTCTTAAATCTAACACATCATAAGCCAAAAGAATGTTCAAGCGTGGTGGTTCTTTGAAAAATGCCCCACTTAAGGCAATGGGGTTGCACAGGTGCAACTGAGGGAAGAATTTTCCCTGTAGAATCCTACTGGTTAGCACTACTGAAGCACGTGCCAGAAAGAAGCTATCACGTTTTAGCTCACAGGTTGAGTTTACAGGACTGGCTGGCAGTTGCAAAGTTTATTTTACTAGTAAACTGAGGACGTTTTGATTTGTATTCAGAGACACACATTTGGAACTCACAATGCCATTTTTTCAGACGCACTTTTCAAAGTAATGCCTCACTTCATTTAAAAAAAAAAAAGAAATTTTATTGAAGTACCTGTAGTAATTGCACCATCATATTTGATGGATAAACATCGTTATTGCTGTGTTTTTAATTTGTGATTTTTGCATTAATAACTCACTGGATAATTGGTTCTGTTGCTAAGGTCTCTTGTAGCTTGAAGAATAGTGCAGGGTAGCTATTAAGAGTTTGCATGGTAGGTTCCTATACAGCAGAAAGCAGCCTCTGTGGGCTTGTTTGGTTAAGAAGCTGCAAAGCCTTCTTAGGTGTTACATGTTTTTCCAAGCCTCCTTAAGGGTAATGGTAATATTGGTAGGGAAAGGAAAAGTCGTACATAGGCGATGTTTCAGGCTCATGTCTGGAGAAATTGCCAGAAGCTTTATGGTAAGTGATAGATATGCTATGATAGGGAGGTGGGGAGCTCTGCTTAAACAAATTCTCTGCTGTTCTTTCTTCCTCCCCCCAATAAAACCCAAGCATTGTAGCTTAAGAAAAACATCCTCCTTTTTTAAAACTACCTGAATAGACATAGTGTTACATACTCTAATTCTTTCCTCTTTAGGTTTTTCAAATAACATATAAAGTCTGTATATTTTTCTATTTAATTAAATTACTAGTTTTCATTTATAGCAACATGGGTATATGCTACTTTTAAGTAATACTGAAATCAAATGATATTTCTATTATAAATTCTAAATTGCTAAATTCAATCCTGTTACCGTATCAGCTTCTAAACTGCATCACACTGAAATTTAAAATTTTGTATCCAGGCTATGTTCAGCAATTTAAAACATTTTAAACAGTTTTGGTAGCTTGTTTAAATTAAGAAATGTGCACTGTGCTTCTGACATGTTTGTTGTGCCCACACCCTTCCTGAGCTATCCTCAACCCTTTATCTTATTTTAAGCGCTTCCTCTCTCTTTCCATAGCAGCTTCTAGCACTGCAGCAGTATGCTTCTGCCTTGGAATGCAGTTGCTGGGAGAACAGCACCAAACCTAGTGTGTATATGTGCCACCTGCTCAACGACACTTGATTCTTTCATAGCTATGTGGATTATGGACCTAGGACCTTATGAGTGAGAGTGTTGAGTGTGACCTTCAGATAACTTTAATTCTAGATTTTTGCATGATTATACTGTTTATATAACAGGTTTCAGAGTAGCAGCCGTGTTAGTCTGTATCTGCAAAAAGAACAGGAGTACTTGTGGCACCTTAGAGACTAACAAATTTATTAGAGCATAAGCTTTCGTGGGCATATATATATGCATCCGAAGAAGTGGGCTGTAGCCCACGAAAGCTTATGCTCTAATAAATTTGTTAGTCTCTAAGGTGCCACAAGTACTCCTGTTCTTTTTACTGTTTATATAAATCACTTTTTAAAAATTGAAGCTTCTTGTTTATTCAGATGAGCCGAACTAACTTCCTAACATGTTTTTTTTAATCTGCAGTTTAGCTGAAGTAAATACTACTCATGCAGGTACTTGATGATATTCTGCCATCTAGTGGCAATTGGACAACTCATAATTTGTTTTTCTTGGGCTCATATGAGTTGTCACTGTTTTAAATGTATTATATTTTAAAAATGTACCATAAACAAACATCTGGTTGAAAAAGAATGAAGTTCCTCATGT